TAATAATAATAATAATAATAATAGGCACTGTCCCTTCGGATCACATAAGTGATCAGTGATGATCAATGAATCAAAACGGTGATTTTACAGGTGCTTACCACACTAATGAATTTCCGTATATATTTGACACGTGGATCTTTTCTGATAAGTTCGAATTCAGTGCTGATGATCGCGAATATCAACGTCTTCTTCTCGAATCGATAGTGGAGTTCGTCAAAACTGGGTATGTAAATACTTTGAGAAGACTGGAATTTTCCAGTTAAGATATGGTCAGATGAGAATGGTGTGCTATGACTCTTTTGAGCTATGCTAAGCTGTCTGAAAGAGCTTAGAATTAGGTACTTTTCATTTTTGTAATCATGAGGAATTCAGAAAACCCTCGAATGGAACGATGAAATGGAAACCGACCAGCAAAAAATATCCATCTCGATATCTCAGTTTAAGACCACAAGGATCTCACATGGTTGAAGCATACAAGCCAGAGAATGTTCACTTTTGGACAAAGGTACTTAATCTGATAACGAAAATTTCTGATTTTTGACTACATAAGTTCATTTTTGACGAAAATTAATTGATCTTTATCAGATATTATTTATTGAAAAAGTTAGGGTTTCACAGCAATCANTTTTTGACGAAAATTAATTGATCTTTATCAGATATTATTTATTGAAAAAGTTAGGGTTTCACAGCAATCAGGTGGCTGCGTGGATATGTTACATGTTGAATTTATGATGTGTAAGGTTATGTAAGCAGTGTTCAGGCGCTCTAGCCCAAATGATCGCAGTAAGAAGGTCTGATGTGATGTAGCGATTCATCCTGAGGTTGCCGGAATCGTCCCCTTCCCTTATAATGGCGTTTTCAGATTGTTTCGAAGGAGGTGACATCCCATATTCTCAAAGGAAAACGTTTCCAAAAACCCGGTGGACCAGAGCATACTCATGAGGAGTTATAGTCTATCGGCTGTGCCTGTGAATTGAGGAAATCGGAGTCGTGCTCGGAGGTGATTCTTCGTTTGTTTTTCTCTCGCCTACACATCGACTTCTTTTGTTATATTATAATTGCTTCGACTGGAATTCTCATTGTAATGATTTGCACTATTTCTGATCTTCATATATTCGGTTACATGGTATTGGAGGGGTTTACGTTTCATTTGTGATGTCGGTATTAACTCTTCCGAAAGTGTGACTTAGCTGCTTTGGCTGAATTTTTATTTTTTCAGTTTTTGTACGGTCAGGTTTTGATGATGAATGTTCGTTAAT